ATCAATATAAAAATGAAATCTTTAAGATAGTTTCAGAAAATCATACATCCGGGGATAGAATAAAAGTTTGTTCCTTCAATTATATTTGAAAAATCCTTTTGTTTGTAGAAATATAATATTATAAAAAACAAAATAGAATGAGTTAGATTTCTTTATACATCTTTATTTTTATTTTAATAAAATAAAAGGTCTTTTTTATCAATTTAAGATAATGATAATTTTTCTGTTAGGGAAATATGACTCTGATACTACCATTATTTTAATTATCAATTTATTTTATAAATTTAAATTAAGGATTTAATTCAATTTATGTTTACTGTAATCTACTGCATACCACATGTAACCCAATAATAATTTTTATTTCCCCCTGCAATGAGCACTATGGCTACACACATGAGAGAGTCCAATTCTTCTTCTTGCATTCCTTTCTTCTCGTTTCCCAGAAACTGCTCTTAAAAAATTCATTTTGGTAATTTTCAAGCTTCCGAATTCTTATGCATTCATTGCCATTTTTATTATAAATTTTGAGAATACTTCTGTGTGTGCATTCAAAGTTATGCTGCATATTCTCATATGGCCAAGCCTTTCCATTTCATTTTATAATTTTTTTTTCTTTCCCCTCAATTGATAAAATACTGAAATTATTCAGACAGTATTGTGCCATTGTACTTTGTAAATAAGTTCTAATCAACTTTAATTTTGAAATTGTGTTTTGTCTGACAAGCATAGTAGGAAGTATTGACAACAATGTCAATACTGGACATGCATCAGGAAAACCTGCTAATTATGAGCAATATTCAGTTATTAATGTGATTTCAAGAACTTTAACAAATCTCAGTTTGGAAATTTGATTCTTTAAACACTTGCACAAAAACAAGTGGGATTTCAAGTATTCTGTAACATCTGCACAGAGTTTTGAATGATGATTTGGGCTTCTTCGTTGAAAAATAATACTTCTACTGTTATTGATAAATGTGTAAATGCGAAGAAAAGAGACACATTTTAAATTATATCATGAAATTTAAAAATTCATTTATTTTCTCTAATAGTTTATTGTAATCAATGTTTTTACTAAAATTCAGTCTATCATCACAAAATTAAATTACAGACATATCTTTAAATAGGGGCCTCCAGACTTTATCGGTCCAAGGACCTCTTTTGAACTTACACTACTGACTGCTTAACTCTCAATGTTAATGTATCAGATGAGAGTTTGTTATTTTGTGAACTCGTTACAAACTGCATTCAGAAGACTACTATTATATACAGTTCTCGCATTCATTTCTCTTACCTTATCTAAACTGAAACATAACTTTCTATGTTCTTCACATATTTTGCAGTCTTGCGAGCATTTATTGCACATTGCACAAAATTCCAGGGAATAAAACAAAAAATGAATTATAACATTTTGCAATAAATAAAACATTCATGAAAACTAATTTACCAGAAGTTGAAATAGCATGGTAAATAAAAATATTGAAATATGTTAATACATCTTTATTGATGTGATCTATAGGCATCAGCTAATTCTTATTACCCAACACTGGTGGCTGATAATAGCAGCAGCAGTAATCAGTGTGTGTTGGCAGGGTGTGTAAGCTTACATAATACAAGGAATGCATACCTACTGTGACAAGGAAAGCTAGTATATTTATCACAATTCGTTTAATTTAGAATAATATGAAGAAAAATAATGCACTGTTCTAAAATTTTGACCTAATTTGCCTATATTTAGACAAGAGATAAAGGATCACCAACATTTAGAGGGTTTAATGTTAAGCAACACCAACTCCAAATTTATAACTTTACATGACGATACTTGCACAAAATTTACACCACACATAGCAAAGAGAATAAAATTATATTATTTAATGTTTCATTATTCTTTCATGATCATAATTGAAAATACTTGTAGTTAAAAGATTTTGGACATCTAGAGTAGTTTTCTTAAAGTTTTGTTCAACCCTTATTGTTTTATTAATGTTACATTTTAAAGCTATAATTATATTATAATTGTGAAAAATATACTTCCTTTATTGGATATGTTTCTCCCACAATATTTTCAAAAGAAGGAAATAATATACTTTAAAACCTAACTTCTGTTTCTTGTACATTTTCCTCTCCATTCCCTCTGCTACACATTTAATTAATATTGTTGAGGAATTAAATTATTTGCACATACTTCCTTCGAATTTTTCATCTTTTCCTCTTCTAATTAGAATTTAATGAGTCTTATAAGTCCATTATTATCTTCAGCTACATCAAATTGTCAGGTGCAAGTGTCCTTTGCATTTTGAACTATAAACTGCACAGAATATCAAATTATCAACTTAATTTCTAAGATACTGCTTTTTTCTGAGCACCCATAGTAGAAAGGGGGGTACTTGGAAAAAATTTTGGCATTAGCATCAAACTAAACCCTGAATGTTTCATTCTGCAGTTGATGGGCAAATTGCTGCGGCAATGAAATCACAATTTACTTATTACAAGAGTACTGTAATTTCACAAAATCAAAATGAATGTTTCAAATTAATTTTATTTTCCTCACAAAAATAATGTTGAGTTTCCATTACAAAATGTGTGGTCTACTTTGAAAAACACTTAAAATAAGTTTATAGTTTTCTTTAGAAAACTACAAAATAAATTTTACAGGTGACCACTATTCTCCAGAAATTAATCCAGTTTTCCAGCACATTTCTTCCCCCCCCCCCCCAAAAAAAATTGTTGAGAATGTCAGTCTCTAAAAAATATATTAAATAAAAGTATTATTTAGATACTTACACATTTTGAATTAAATTCTCATCTGACATTTAGTTGTACCTATGTCATTTAATTTGTTATTGAACTATATCTAGTTTGTTGTTTTGTATCTACCTATGCCATCTCACGTTTCCCAGATATCCATAAAATTCTTTGAATTCTCAGATTTTTCCTTAACTTTTTAGGATCAATAAAATACCTTGACTTTTCCTGGTGTCATGTTCTTGTTATCATGTTTGTGTCAATTTGGAACTTTGAAGGAAAGTATATTTTCTCTTCACAAACACACAATATTTAACAATATTGAACAAATCATTCCCATCATTCTCGCAATAATCTGAACACACATTTCTTATAACATTAACTAAAGTACTTTTGAAAGGTTACTATACCAATATTGGTTTGTAGATTGTACACTACAGAAAACATTCACAATTGAAAAAACACCCTCCCACACCACTAATGCTGATCTATTAGCAACCAAACTACATTGTGGACATATATTACTCATTTTGCTCAAGTTAAAATACACATAACCACATTGCTTTAAAAATCTGTTGCCCTCCTTGCAACTCAGGAAATCAGTCCACCAACTGTTAACTGATTTTTTGAAATCTCACAACCAGCTAAAAGGCACACATCGCATTGTGTTATTCCGTAACGTGTACATATTTCCACAATTAATTATTTTCCTCTAGTGAGAACATTTCATTCCCCAGAAAATTGCCACTGTGTTTTAATTTACCAGTATATTTATGCCACACAATTATCTTACTTTTACTTACATTTTATTCACATATGTTTTTTCTTCAGAATTATGTCACTGTTTATTAGACAATTGCTAATATTTACTTTATTTTAGAGATGGGCAATGATCCAGAAAGTCCAAGTAACTATTCATGTAAATTGCAATGTACATGTGGTTACATGGGAATTAATAACTTTTGTGTATCATAGCTCTCCTTTATTACATTCTTTTGCTCATTAGAATATACTGTGCATTTATGATTCTCAAATTCTCAATTTTAAGATAATTGCTTACAGATATTCTAGTCCATAATGAAGATCCTTTTGAGCTTACATGTGCTTTCTGCATTCTCCGCAGCAATAATATTCCAAATTTGGCAACAGACCTATTGTGACACTATTATACCTTAATGTTGAGTCAATTCAACTCTGACACTAGATTGAGAGGAAATTTTTCATTTTCTATTCTTTCACTGTCTCTAACTAATCATTGTAGTCTAACTAAAGTTTTATTGAGTGCTGTAACTCATAGAACTGTAGAATATGGTTATCATTTCCAAGTAATGAGATTGTACAGATTTGATATTGTAATCATGGTTATATCTCTGTTTATGAATACAAAAATTATCACAGTTAAATTGAAATTTTGCAAGTCTTGCAAACGTCTTGAAATTCATAAATAATTATAGTGCATGTTAATCGCTGTGAAATTTCCAGGCTTGTGGTTGATGCAAGTTTCAGAAACCTGTAGTTAATCTTACAATTCATTTATCATTCATTATTAGATAAATCACTAACATTTAAAAGATGCAATATGTTAAACACACAATCTTACAAATGAAAATCCATTACTGTTATTAGCTATGTGCAAAGAATCTAAACATGTTTACAAACTCAAAGTCATGAAACAAATTTATATTTATTTTGCAGAAATACTCAAAACATATATAATTGATTTTGACATACCCGAGGGCCCAAAGGCAGCAATATTCCAGGTAATCAGATTCATTCTCAGAGCATAAATAGGATCAAATAATTATACCATAGAGAAATGATACTATATACCTCTTTAGTCCATTACACTATTATATAAATGACAATTTTATAAATGTTTGCATCATTTTAATATTGAAAGAAGTTTATAAAATTAAAATTTGACTTGAATAAGCCATGAAACTTTTAAATTGTACAGAAGAAAAAGTTATAAATCCGTTTCAGGTCCAAGAACTAGTAGTTCTGCGAGTAATATGCAATGCAGTCATGATGAAAATATACATACATTTTTTACCATAGTAACTTTACACATAGTTTGCTACAAGTAAATAAATCTAAAATAATCAAAATATTCCTGGATAATCGATGCTCTACATTTAACTTCAAGTTTATGATAATTGAATTAATTAAATGAATTGCCGAAGAGCACAAATACTTAATTTCCTTGCACAATTCTAGGAGAGTCATAAAATGTTGCATGCTGATCTAAGATATCACTTTTAATAGAACACACTCTGCTGCTTTCCTTGGTATACTATTTTCACCAAATAATTCTTATTTCTGTTATTTTTATTTTTACTTTCTAATTTTGCCAGAAGAATGTTCTCAATTAGATAAGGCTTAATAAGGAAGTAGACGTTCATTAATGAAATGGGAATGGGTCTGGAATAAGTCAATAAAACAAAATTTTGCTGAACATGTTACTAGTGATTTATTCACACACTATGAGAAGTCAACTCCACAATGTTGAATATCTCTAGGATACATTTTATTATAAAAATTGAATAAAATCACTCGTATAAATTTATTGTAGGGAAGTGATAGTACAATGTAAACAAGCAACATTTCATGGAAATATCCGCTCATTCTGCTAGAAGAACACAGTCTTAGTCTCGAGTAACATGCATGTTCCCAAATAGTGAGAGTCTAATGTTGCAAAAAGCTGGTGCAATTCTAACACAATCACTACCACACTTGTTTCTGAAAAGCTGAACTGAACAGCTGGCGTTTTTCTAGTTTGGATCTGAACTTCTTGGAGATATTAATCACGTATCAGGAATCAGCAATGTAATTACCAGAGAACAATAAATAATTATGTACATCAGCCACACAAGATTACTGATTAGTGATCAAAACAAGTGTAGGTTCAATTTCATGAAAGTACACATAAGAAACAAAACTATTGAACAATTCCACAGCACTAATTGTGGATTGCAAAAGGCACAAACATGTCAATGTATTTAAAAATTACAAATGAATCATAAATGAAATTCTTAAAAACTATATTTACGTTCAAAAATAGCAAAAATAATCATGTTACAATTGCTAAATAAGCAAATGAGTAGCTTGTATATGGGAAATTATTATTTCTACATCTATAGGCAGATACAAGAGTTCATGTAAAAATGTATGCATCTCATACTATTTGGCTGGAAATTTACGTCAATTCACACGGAAATCCCTTGAATATATTTCTGGCAATGTAGCATCCTCACCATTTTGTAACTGTTAAAATTTAATTTCGGAATTCATATTATGGCGAGAGCAATTTTCAAGCCCAAATTACATTTTTTTAAAAAATTTATTGATGATCAATAAAAGCAACCATACTTTGAAGCTGAAAGTTGTCAAAACATTTCCCAGCCTCAAAATACAGCTGCTTTTAGAGTAAGTAACACTTCACCACAAGCCAGAGGAGTAACCACCTGGAGGCACACGGTTGCGCTGAGGGGGAGCAGAGTGAGATGTTCCATTAGTTGTAGGGGCAGCAGCAGCTGCCGGAGGAGCATTATTTGCAGCAGGCTGTTTCTCTCCATTGGTGTACCCTTCACCAGTCACTGGGTTTCCATCTGCCATGAACAAAGCTTCAATTAGAAAAAATTCTTGAATTACACAGTTGGCCAAGTAAGAATTTCTATGAAAAATAATCTCTTGGAAATATTAGGCATTTGAAAAATTAGGTCTTGCAAAATGTTAGTAAAACAAGTCCAGAGGATAAAATTGGTTCATTCTGTTTCACTGGATGCATATCACTCAAACAGAAAATTTTAGAGAATTGCTGTCACATAAGTAAATGTAAATTCTTAAAAATGAGCTATGAGCTCTACAAAATAAGACCGTTTACAAATCCACAATCATATTCCATAATTGTACGAGCATAGGGATGGTTACGTAAGAATACAAGCAATACCACATACAGAACATAGTTTTTGCAATGACATAACATATAATGAACAAAGAAAATTCTTGAATAAAGTCATGCTAATCACAGTACATTCAAGGCTATTAAAGAAACTACACAAAGATTTAGCACAAGAAATCAAACATTCTACCCACAAAAAAATCTGTAATGTCCCCTAACATCAGGCAGTACACACACATTAGAATCATACACAAGTTTCATTTATCGTGCTGGAATTCCCATCTCTACAGCTACAAAGGCTACTTCTGAAATGACACCATAACAGTCTCACATCCCAACTACAAGGGCCACTTGAGCACTAAACAAAATTGAACACTACATTGTTTGACTTGCAGGTTCTTCACATTTTGAGGGCTACAAGTGAAATTCCCAGCACCATTTATCATTTACCTCTTCTCCTGGCACTTCTCCTGATTTCCTTGAAGTACATACCATCGCCGGTCACTGGATTGCGGCGAGGCATGCTCGCTGGAATCAGAACCCTGCATGCAGCCACACCGCGACATGCCCAAACACCACACATTTTTTAAAATACTGCAACTACTTTTTCTTCAAAAGCATAAGTTCATCAACTGCAAAATCTACTGCACCAACTTTAATTTATTGGCTGCTTTCAACCTTCACACAAAACCAACACCAATTAAATAGAAAGATCTCAAGAAGAATTGTCCAAGCCAAACACCAATACAAATAGAAGCTCATGTGTACTCAACAACTAAAATTGATACTGGATATGAGAAGCACAAATGATGAAGCAAAAATCACCAATTACAAGAAATGAATAATAGAAGAAAAGAGTGATTGCTAGCTTGTCAAGAATTATGTGATAGAAGCATGTGCAATATAAAGGGATGATTTGATTTAATCACCAATTACATGTTTTATAATACTTCTTGTGAATGAATGTACCGTTTCAATGGTCTACAAGAGATGTTAAGGTAATTATGATGTGCCCAATGAGGTTCAAAGTCCAACAATTTCTTTATTAATTCAATATTTTCCCTACTGCCATATTTTAATTAGGATTGTTAATCATTAGTAAAAACCACACCAAAGGTCACAATGCAACAATGGATTTATACTTTTTGTAATTCTGGGGAGGTATAACACAGATTGGACAGTGTTAAAAGAAGAATCACATGCTGACAGATTACAGCAGAAGATTTCAACCGACAACCTCCATGCAGAACATGATGAGTTTTTTTAAATTTTAAATATGGAGAGATACTGTCGCAAGAAACATGCATCACTTACAGTAGCGATATCCCCAGCAGGAGACAACTTAGTCCTGTGACTATCACAAGCAGTAGTATATTATAACAATAAATACTTCACTGACTCAAATACCTCAACAGTATCACTGGATATTGCAGAACATTTTTGTATACCAAGAAATAGAATTGCAGCTGACATGATTTTTATGCATAATCCAAAGGAGTCCAAAGAAGAAACAAGGAAGGGAGTTTTAAATGTTATGCTACACCCAACAACACTGAAGAGTTGACAACTCACTTGGCGACCCTAAGCTACATCCCTTCACAGCTGCTAATGTGGCTACTCCAATACGATTTTTATTTTCAAAATACGGTTAACTACAAAGAGCGGTTACGAGTAAAAAATAGTGCAGGTTTGGGTATGTTTTAAATCGATTTACATTAGGAGCAAATCTTACTTTAATATTAGGTAATAAAATTCTAATTCAGGTTAGATTTATATAATTTCAAAAATATGTTGAATTTAGAATTATTAATAATGCATTTCCTTCTACTTATTCATATTAATAAACAATTTTAATGTTTTAAATATTTTCCACCATATTTCTAAATCATGAATTTTAGTGACACACATGTTATTTCTTTTGTTTTTTGCTCCAAATCAAAAATTGAGTCACCAAGTGGAGAAGTAGATTTGAGACTGTGGAGCAGGACGTACCTTTGGTTGAGACTCCATCTACAGCTGATATCTCCTTTATGGGTGAATTTGAATTGTTGTCCTTAGGAGGTGATGAAGCAGCATCATTGCTAAGAATTATGCTACTTTTCAGCCGATTTTTTGTAGCACTCTGAGGCCGAGAATCAGCAGGACCAAAGAGACGGTTGTAGGAATCGCAACCCATCTTGCTACGAGGCGTGATCTCACCATTGGTAGGTGGTGGACCAAACACAGATGACTGCATATTGTTGCGCACACGTCGAGGAGAATTCTGTACAGGATCTGGGGCACCAAAGATGTCGCTAGTGCCACCACCAGGTGGCTTCAGGACCCTAGAAAAGAAATATTGATTATCAGTAATGAGAAAATGATACTATTACCTACCAGAATGAAAACTTGTCTCTTGAAGGTTGTTTTTATTATTATTATTTTTTTTCATTTGTGTGTTAATTGTAACGTTTTGTAAAATATATATATATATATATATATATATATATATATATATATATATATATATATATATATATATATAAAAACAGATTGTAAGTAAAATATAAAAACAAAATATAGAAAAAAGAACAAAAACAAAAAGCAAAAAACAACATGTAATTTAGCGAACAACCATTTTTCAATTAAATGTACAATAATAAACATTGAAGACATTTTTTATAAAATCAATAGCTTTATCACTCATACAGAGCCAGCAATATATTGTATATTCCTGGGCTACCCAACTCCTTAGTACTTGCCTGTGGTGGCAGGGAGTTCCTTTGAACTCTGCCCCAAAGAGATCGTGGCTCTCACCACCTGGAGGCTTCATGGCCCTGCAACGCAGCACGGCACTTGAACCAAATGTAACTGACAACCTTTCGTTAAATATTTTCCTGCTGTATACACAGGAAGCAAGAATCTTATGAATTCCTTACGCATGAAGATAATTTATATTTTGACTTTTGTTATCATGTTATTGTGTAAACAATAAACTTGAGTTAATCCAACAGACTATCAGGGAACTAGAAAGATTTGAACGGTATTTCCAAAATATTTAAACAGATTTTTAAGTTTAAGGTAATTTGTCACGAACGAATTCACTTGAGTTTTTTTAAACTTTATCCAAAAATTTACGACCTTTTTAGAAATCAATACTCCACTTGTCAAGCCTCTATCGCAAAAACGAAGATCTCCTCCAATGTGAAAAAGCAAAACAAAGATTTACGGAACAAACCAGTGTTCGTAGGCATGAGTAATAAGAATTACGACCCTATCCGAAGGATACCTGCTGCCGGCGCCTGCGCCTCCGTTCACGAACATGTGCGCAGGAGGGACGCCGTGGAGCCCTGCTCGCGAGCCGGCGAAGCACTGGCTGGACCGCTGCTGGAGCAGCCAGTGAACCTGTCGCCGACGCCGATGCTGATGCCTCTTCCTACTCCTCCGCCGTCCAGTCGACGCGTACCAGAGCGCGCATGCACGCACGCACGCACCCACCCACACGCCTCTAACCTCTTCTCCCTCCCCGCGACACAGTGATTCACCCCGCTCGCCTCCCAGCGTCTTCCGTCGCACGCCGTCCACAACCGCACGCCTCCGGGATTCCAGTAGCACTGCGCCGCCGTCGCCGCCGCCGGCAGGCGATGTACGGAGAACGAGATATCACGACGGACGAGGTGGCGAGAGAGAGCGCGCGGCGGCCACGCCTGTGCGCTCAAGCGAGAGGGAACGGCCGCAGCGCGCGGAGGGCTATCCGAGCCGTTCGGGAGAAACACAGGGAGCTTTGATTGTACAGTCAAGCGACCAGCTCATGCTTCTTGAGAAACATCTCTCCATACACGGCCACGCCGAGCCATTGTGGCGGCGGCGGCGGCGACGTGCGTGGTTCGTCTCGAGCTGCACCGCTGGGCATGAGTTACTCTCTCTTTCAACTCTCTCCTATTCAACGCACACAATAAGACAATACCCAAAATTGTAAGTATCGAAGCGCTTTCTACTTCGTGATGAATATTAACGAACCTTCACGCATGTAATTATGCATATTACGCGAAGGAAAGGCCTAAAAGGATGTGAAAAAAAAAAAAAAGAAGAAAAAAAAAAATACACCAATAGAAATTCTAGGACCCGAGTGACATAGATAACAGAACAAACTTCCGTAAACATTGATCATTTATAGATCATTCTCCTTCTTTCGCAACATACCGAAGTAGTAGTAAACACTTCTGTTGACTGTCAAGCACACTTTGTAGACTTCTCGACAGAATCAATTTTGAGAGAATTCAGGACAGATACCTGCTGCTCTTTCCTTGTTACACCAATAAAATCACAGAAAGAGAAGTAAACAGTGACGAGAGGCGAATTACTTTCTAGTTCCTTCAATATATCTAACAACCCGTAACGCCTGAAAATATCTACTGGATGGGTCATTAACCATTACGGTCACTCTTAGCATCGAGAAAATTAAATAATTAATTACGTGAAAAGAAGGAGTTTCTTATAAACTAAAGGAAACTCACCAGAATTCTCGCAGAGCAACTTTCTACATGATGCCTTGAGATCGATCAGGCAGAACCGTAGATTAATTTCTCACCCAGTGTAAGAAACATTTCGAAAACGAAACGTATGGGAATGGAACAGTACGGTGCTTCGATCCCTCGATATCAAGCCTGTCTTACAATTCATGAACATGCGTTTAAATACACCGAAAATGTTAATACCAAAAACCCACTTTCAAGGGGAGTTTGCAATTAAAGCGAACGCTATTGAATCTCCGAGTGTCCTCATTTTAAGATGTGGAAGATCTACAGTGTGGCTTCGTGCATCAAATGAGTTCACTGCCGTGCCTCTGACTGGTATGTTCTGGGATTCGAACCCCGACTGTGGCAAGATATTTGACACCTGCTAGATAGATAGGAGGAATTCAGCTGCTGTGTACGGGAGAATTCTAGCGGGTAGCTGCACTGGGCAGTAGTTTCCCGAGGTTTCTCCGTTTAGTATCAGACGAATGCCGGAGTAGTACCCCAACAAACTGACCACAGATCGCGTGCGATATTTTCTTCCTCTTCTCCCATCACAAACACCATATGTATGCTGGGAGACCAACCCGAGCACCTTCAGGCTAAGGCGGTGCCCCGCGAGGAGGAGATACCTAGAGGACGTCATGTAGGTCGGCGGGGGAAGAACAACGCCACATCACGTGATTAAAACACGCACTACGCTTACGAGACTAACGAGTACAGCAGTTGACGCGCCCGGGAACACGAATTAATCAATCAAGACGTGGTAGGTGTATTAAAATCCAAAAGAAGACGAGTTACCATCTAGGTCACCCCTTCTTTCCCACGGCTCCTCGACCCAAGAAGAAGCAGATGCATCTCGCCGTGGTGTATGCGCTTCAGTAAGGAGGGCGGGCGGCCCGAACCCTGCGAGTGGTCGAGCGCGTCTCCCACGTATGCCTCTGCCTTTGTGTGCCGCCGCCGCCGCCTCCGCGCCGGAGAGGATGCGGCGTTTGAGATGAAGTGGAGCGATAGCGAGGCCTCGCGGACAGCGACGTCGCAGCGGGCCGCCTTCGCAGGGCACGAGACGAGCCTTGCATGCAGAGCAGCCACCTAACCTTACGCTCGCTCCTGCGACCTTTGCTCCGGGATTTTGATGTTTAAGACAAAAAATATCTCGCAACGCGGGGACTCAACTGAAGAACGCATCACATCCATTTAATACCACACAGATCCCTTCAGAACCAAACAACATCGTACAATATAAATCTTCGAAACTACACCTGTTGCGCCCCACAGGTTCGAGTATTTAAGTAATTAAAATGATTACGTGCCTCATACAAGAGTTGCAAACGTTGACAGAACATTACTTTTATTTCAAAACCTACGTTTTCGGAAGTTATACCTCTGGGATGATTTGGAACAAGACATTAAAAATCGAGATTAACATCAGCAATCTTTCAAAATAAAAAATGCACACCTCAGAACGTTTGCCGAATCAAAATCTGATATTGCTATCTTTATTACTCAAGCCGCGGTCCTTACCGAATGTTGACTTCAGATAAGTAGATATCGACAATTTCATACCTTCAATTATTCAATGAAAAGTACTATCCCAACCAACGAAACCTTTGGATAGAAATTATACCCTATGCCCTACTGACAACAGAGAACCAATGACTTACTAAGAAAATAATTACGTTACCAAGTTGTTTTTTTATATTGAAATATTGGACAGAGGTGTACGAATGGTACTGATTACTTGGCCAATATACATGAAAATTATACCAATACACTGCCAAGATTTTCCCTGGACGTTTGTTGGCCTAATAAAACACCACTTCACCAATATACACGAGTCCGAGAGCAACACAGCGCAACCGCAGAATAAAACCTTCCCTATTAAATAGGCAAAAACCGAACGCGAAGTACTGAGTCATGTGTTGCCACACTCGCCAGCCCTCAACTCACTCGCGCAGCCCCGACCTGCCAGGGTCCTCGGACATCGAAGAGTACTCCGTCGCAGCGGACGTGGGCGAGCAGGGGCTCTCTTCCGCTTCCGGGAGGCCGGCGGGGTCGCACGCCGTGCAGGCGTCGCCCGCGGCGAGGGTGGTGGCGCCGTCGGGGACGAGGACGGGGACGGGAAGGGCGGCAGCGGCGGGGTCGGGCACCGGGGCGGCTTCCGCCTCAGACACATCGCTCGCTCCCGCGTCCCCCGCAGCCGCCGCCATCGCCGCGTCCCCGTCTCTCATCGGCACAGCAGGCATCTGCGACTCTGTGTCGGGAGCTGCCGCCTACGGACGTGCGCTCATCATGTCTTATACCACGACGTAGTAGAAAATACACGATAATCTTAGCAAAATTTATTTGTAGCCTCAAATATCTCATATAGGATTAAACGAACAAACAATTAAGTGCTACAGTGGTTCTACTTTAACATCTAAAAATTATGTCAGTCAAAATAGATAGGAAATAACCATTCCTCAAAATTAACAAATTTGTATTCGATTACTGATCTTTCATTTGAACAATGAAAGCGATACAATTCGAACAATAAATTCCTTAAACGACGTGAATAAGTTCGTCGAGCTAACAAATTATTTTCATTTTCACGCCCTCTCTGCTATCCAGAAAGTGCGCGCCCGCTCACCGTCCCCGCGCCCGGCAGCGTGTCGCCCGCATCCAAGGGGCAGGTCGCGGGCGCCGGGGCGCCGCGCGCGCTCTCCTTCCCTTCCGCCGCCGCCGCCGCCGCCGCCGCCGCGCCGTCGCCGTCTCCTGCGCTCGCCCTCGGCTCGGGCTCCTCCCGCTGCCCCTGCGGCGCCGGCGCCGCCGTCTCGCAGCCCGCTTGTCCCATGTCGCTCATGTCGAGCACCGGCCGAGGGCGGACGGC